TTTTTCGATCGGGTCGTGAGTCGTTTAGTGTACAGGGGGTTACGAGCGGCGATTAGCCTCTCATCACCACCTCCCAATCAGGAATCGTGAGGTCAGGAGAATATCAAACATGTTTGATTTTTTTCCCGACAGTCGTGGGCAAATCGCTCAGGGCGCAAAGAAGGATTATTTGTTTTTTTTATTCCTCCTCTCAGATGTAAACACAGCAGTGTGGCAGGGATGCAATGAGTGAAATGCAGCTCCGTCTGCATATTGACGGACCGCAGCAGCCACGCCTGCTCAGCCACGTCCTTTTTCCAAATACGTCGTTGCCCTTTTTTTCTAGGACCCTCAGCACAAAATTACGCTATAGTTAACTTCATATTCCTCTTCTATTTGTTTGGCTTCAGGATAGAGAGCTACAGAGCAGCTCCATCTCACTGCGGAGCTGAGTCCGACATGGTTTTAGTCGCACAGTGTGAGCAGTTAGATCGCATCAGAGCGTCAGGCCGAACATAAATCGTGAGCTGTGAGCTGACACTGTACGACTAAACGCAGGGTTTAGTCGTACAGTGTGAGCACAGTGTACGCCGGGCTTTACTGTGGGCAAATAAATATAAATAACCATCACTGAAAATCGATCTTACCATCTTGCATCATATTTTGTGTGCGACTGATGGCTCACCCCACTCAGCAAGCATTCTTCCTACTGAAGAATATTTTTATTTAGGCTCATCTCTTAAAATAAATTGTAAAACAATTAATTTCTGGAGGTATTTAGGTGATTTTGTCTGATCAGTTGATCTACGGGCATTTGTTGTCAACCTCCTTTAATGTTACTGCATGTCACTGATATGTTATGTTTAGCTATCGTGATGCACGGGGAAGCATATCCATTTGTACAAAATAAATTTTATCCTCCCATGAGGAAGTTTTAATGTCAAGAGTTTTAAGATTCTGCAGTAATAAAATTTTGCAATCAGTCTTATTATTCTCTCTTGGGGCCCAAACACTGTAAGCTGGCATAAACCAAATTGATAAGTGTAGATCTATTTGAACTCTGCACGTATAAATCTGGAAGAAAATGAAGAAAATGTTCGCAAAAGGGAGGGATGTTCAGTACAATTCTTGGTGCAGATTAGTTAGCTCCTTACCATGTCAAGTTTTTTTTTTTGCCAATCCAAGCAGCAGTAGCAGCTTGATTTGTTTTAAACCAGCAAAGTTAAATGATTAATCAAAATCTTACCAAATCTGGTCGGGAGGAACACACATCTTTACACCTCTCCCATCCAAGGCAAAAATCACTTTTTCTAAAACATTTGCATTTCATTGGTCCAAAAACATTTCTGCCATGATGCTAATGCAATATCTTGTCTTCTGGCCACATGTGTTTTCAGGACTTTGTGAATTTGAAAAACTTACAATTCATCTTGCATGCAAAGTAACAAACACTGTCCCCCAAGATGTCTGCACTTTCCTCTAGATTGAAGAGATTGGGTGGATGAATTGGGCTGCTTGTAGTCCTGCCTTAAATTCTTCGAATGCTTGGATCAGCTCGGGTGTGCCTTTAATGCTAGAATAAACAACACAACCACATTGGTGGACTTGTGGCAAACGCTTGTTGAAGAATAGCTTGCTATCTATAACCAGTGTGTGACCAAGATGGTGACCTGCTGAATATGAGGGGAGCTGTTAGGTTTTTGTTTTAAATTGAATAAGTTGTTAAATCCGATTCTTCTTACCTCTGTCATTCAATCAAGTCAGCCAAACAAGCCAATAGCAGAATAAGCTGCTTTGAACTGGCAGCAACAGTTATCATATACTTGATTCTATTGCTCAAAGTTCAAATGTATTTTACACATTTGAAATCGTTTAAAGAAAAACTGATTTCTTAAGGAGAGGGGGCTGTTCTGATAATATGTACTCAAAATATACATTTCTGTAATGCATCTTCCTTGCTGATTCCAAGACTGCATGACATAGCATAGAATTCATTGACTAGTAAGTTAGGGGCAAAGAGGCGCCTAAAAACGTTATTACCAAGTACTTTCCTATTAGCCTGTCGCCCCCAATAGTTCAGGCCAAAAAGGATCTCCGGGGCAGCCAGTAATGCTGAGTGGATCAGTGTGTTTATGTCTGTCCAGCCTGTGCACAGCACAGCACTTCTAGCTGCTGTCGTGTCAGAGTCTAATGGAATCCCCAGGCAGTGAAGGAAGAACCACATACCGAGCTCAAGCCACCTTTCCCTGATGATGATGTTTCTCTCCGTCACTCGTCCCTCTTTCTTCCCTTTGCTCATTCAGCTTGTCCCTCTCCAGAGAGTAATTTCACAGGCAGCTCTAAAGTGGCCCCCAGCCATCTTCCCTAAATCCCAGTTACATGCTGTTTGGCGCTGTCAGCTCTAAGCCTCATCTTCACTCTCCCAAGCAGAGAGGACGCAATTGTGCAGTAACGGGGAGTATAGATTTTTAGTGGGAAGCTGGAAAGTTTTGTTTAATGGCACCTCACCTGAAGGGATTTATATCCCCCTTGTTAGAGGTAGTGGTTATATCTGGAAAAGGTCCTAGGTGGTGGGAAACTTTCTTTGGCCTTGGCATTTTGGATCACCTACATTTAAATATATTTGTTCTGTGTTCATCACAGAAGTTGTTGGAATATTTCATTTGATTGGAGAATACTCATCTCAGAAAGCAATATTCGCTTTTTAGCCCTACTTAAGCCGTAAAGCTTTTTGCACATCTATCCACTTGACTCTGTGTTTAAAGTTAGATGTGCAAAACTTTACTGCCAGTCTGTCCATATCAAACGGTGTAATCTGTACATAAAAGCCTAAAAGGCCAAACAATGAAATGGCACCATACAGCTCAGTGTTTTCAGTTTATCTCTAATCTGTATCATTGTGAAAAATGCAATCCACTTCACCATCCTGGATAAAGCAGCAAGCGGCAGCATTGTTTAGTGCAAATCTCCAGAGGAGCTCCTGTATTCTTCTCGACAAATCATTATGCATTGAGTAGGCCATTAGGAAAATGAAGACAAATGGGTCATAGGGGTGAGGTGACAAATTGTACATGCAGTGGCGGTAAAATCTGGACCGCACTCTGCCTAACAGTTTTAAAATAGGCCTCATTTAATGCCAAACCTAAAGGTTGGATCTAGGATTTTATTATCTGACTCGGTTTTGTCCTTGACTGCAGAACAGAAGATCACTAAGTTTTGTTACGCTCTTTGACCCTTAAGCCTGAATGTAGAAATAACTTCAGGATTAGGAAATGGCCAAGTTTTAGGTCATCAGTGAAGTGTAATATTTGTGTCCAGGAAAGAAATTATCACCTCACTGTTTGAGGTCATAGCTTTGAATAAGTAAAAGTTAACTTCTTAACAATCACACTACATTAGTAGTGGGTAACGTAGCCTTAAGCAAGTTGACATTATGTTTTCTTGGTCTAACTTTTTTCAGCCTTTCTAGACAACTGTATGACTGTAATTGCGTCAAACTGAAGTCAAACCCCCTAAACCAAAAAATGCAGTTTGTTAAAAACAAACAAACAAAAAAAAACTCTTATTTTGAAATAAGTGTTGTGATAAAGCTGGTGATTTACACCCCTACAGCTGATCATGGTTACATGATCTTTTTGTATTTTCGTTATTAAACCTAAATATTCAAATTTCCTGGGCATTTTTATATTTCAGCAGGCTATAGACAAGAGATTTAAACTGTGGTTTCTTTTGTTTGTTTATTTAGACTTATAACTAAACAGCGTGTATATCATTTCTAATGGAAATGGCTGTCTGCATTTTCTAGATAAGGGTAATAAATGTAAGGTCAAGAACTCACTTCTATAGAAAGGTTTATGACCCTTTGACCTCTATCTGCCATTTTGGACTTCTTACTGTATGTTTCTTCACTGCTGAGAACCTCCTACTGTTTTTGCTGTTACTCTGTCTTCTTGAACCCCAGTCGGCCTCGGCAGATGGCCGCTCATACTGTGCCTGGTTCTGCTTCAATTTTCTTGCTGATATAATTGAGTTTTTCCTCTCCACTGTCACTACAAGCATGCTTAGTGTGATGCAATAAGCTGGTTTTCCTTAGATAAAAAACTTTAAATCAATTTGACTGTATGAGCTGGTGAACTGTAAAGTGCCTTGAAATGACATGTTGTCAATTGGCGCTATATAAATAAACTGAATTGAAAATTGAATTGAACTTGGACACACACACACACACACACACGCGTCTCCTACTTGTAGTAATTTCTTTAATCAGACAAAGGTTTTAGTTTTGGGTTGCCCAGTCACCACTCAATACTTCTCAGGTCAGAATTTGGTCATTTTAAGGCCCTAACTGATGAAATTGTTGATTCTTAATAAAAAAAGTTGAAACAAGTCTTTACACAGAACATAACCATAAATGTGGGATTTGCTATCTAGCATGTCTTCAGAGACATCCAAGGGGTTGGTATGCTGTAAAATGTTGTAATTGACAAATTATTTTTAGCGTTATTTACAAAAAACCAATAAGAATGACTATTAATGCTAATCATTTTTTAAATGAATACATTGGAAAGTGTAGAATGAGATATTACCTTTAAAGTTAGAGCATGGTTAGGTTGATTGGCAGCACTGATTTCCTCTTCTTGCTCTGGTAGCCAGCCAAGCCAAACTGTGGATCTGGTTTTATTTGGATTTCATGTTTTAACTAAAACTTGAATCTCTGTAACAGTTTCTCATCAATAAAGATGGACCTGTTACAGAAGGATGACAGCTTGTGCTGACTGTGCAAACAAAACCAGCTGGATGCATAAAGAAAAGTCACTGTTTTGTTGATAGTGCCTTTTTTAGGGTTTTAACACCTATTGTTTCAACATCCTTCTCTGGCTTTGTCAGTCTCTTTGGTTCGTTGGGGTAATCTTTATATGATGACTGACAATCACTTAATCTCCTTTGTTTAAGATGGTGTGCAATCTCTGTATTTAATGATTCCTTAAATAACTGTTCTTATTTGTGTCTTTGTGGCATAGGAGAGCAGCAGGAGCGAGTCTCCAGTTGAATCAGAGGAAAAAGGAACTCCTGCTTCATCTGAACTGGATGCTGAGTCAATAACCAAAACTGTAACAAGTTCTCTAAGCATGCAGGAGTATTTTGCGCAGCGCATGGCACAGCTCAAAAAGGCTCGTGGTGTTGAAGGTTCAGCTGCATCTGTGAAAGAAAGGGATACAGAAACATCAGCTGAGGAGCTTGATGCAGCCCCCAACAGCAACAATGATGCTGATGAGCCCCAAAAAAAGAAGAAGAAAAAGAAGAAGAAGAAAAAGCTTGAAGAGGAGCTGGAGGTTGTGGAAGAGAAGTCCAGTCCTCCCATTGTACAGGAAGAAAAGGAAAACCAAGAAAATACATGTTCAAGGAAGAAAAAGAAGAGGAAAACCGAAGAAATCAGTGATGAATATGAAAACTGTAGCTCCACCAGTGTTCTGGAGATGAACTGTGAAGAACCACGGCTCTCCAAGAAGAAAAAACGGAAACATGCTGAAATGGAGCTTGAACAAAATGAGGAGTGCAGAGTTATCCAGGATAAGGAGGACCACAGTGGTATGAAGGAGTGTGAGGAGGAAGTGGTTAGTAAAAAATCCAAGAAAAAGAAAAAGAAGAGACAAAATAATGAATAGGGCGGAGTTGATTCTAATTTCAAGTTTCCTAAAAACATGCCATCTGCTCTCATTTTCAAGCTTTACATTTATAAATATTTGAACATGTAAACCTAAACTTTTAATTGATTTTTTTTTTTTTTTTTTGAAACTTTCATGTAAAATGTGCCTAATGAGCTGGCTTAAATGAAATGATTTATGTCTGGAACTTTGTAACTTGAATGATATCAGTATACAGCTACCATGGTCTCTTAATATGTGCATGCATTACTATTTATTTAAACAAAAGTTCACATTTTCTTTATCTTCCATTTTGTCATTTTTGGTACAAAAGTAGAAGCCCAATCTTTGTGAAAGATGACATGAAATTAGCCAATCTTTCAAATGTCCAGTTTAATGCTTCTAAATAAAGAAAGGCACATGTGGTTTGACTCTGTTCTATACAATCAGCTGATATTATGTTGTGAATAAAATGATACCAGTAGAAAAAATGTATTCAAGTGTGGAAGCTGCAAAGAATAATAATTTAACTTTATTGATCTCAAATTCCTTGAACTCAGAACCTCAAGATTCCAAGCTCTTGGCCCTAACCACTAGGCCGCCACTCCCCCATCACCATACCTACTCAGGGATAGGTTTTTTTTATTTGTCACAGATCTTTTACTTTACTTTGGTTTTAAAGGATCTGACGCAGGACATTGCTATCCTGTTTGATGACACCTGTAAGACAGCTTTGTGTGAGATGAGTCAAAGGAGGAAAAGGAGAAACTACTGGTTTCCAGTATTGCATATGGAAATGTAGTGTTCTTTGTGTCTATTTTGGGTTTTTGTGTTGAAATGATCTGAAAGTGTATTTCAAAATCTCAGGACAAAAGAATATGTTGTGTTAGAATACCTGGCTAACCCAACACTGGCTGTTTAGGTACATCAGGTCAGGTGTGCTAATTCCTCTCCCATTTCCTGCTACCATTCTTGCCAGATGTCCCTTGCTGTTGCCAGGTTTGTGCTGTTTTCCTGATTAGTTTATCACATTTCTACTTTTACATTAAAAAATCTAGTCTTACATGCTTTCAGGCTCCCTAAGTCAACACAAAATACAATTTCTCTCAGCTTTAAGAATCTACGCACAGTCTATATATCCTATACCACTTAGGGCAATTCTAACCATGTGTTCATATAGCTTATCTTTAAGCCTTATCAATGCTGGAGGTCAATCTTCATTTTTGGCCACAAGAAAATAATTTTATTTCAGTTTTTTGTCACACCATCATTAATGCAAAAAAAAAAAAAAATAAACTTCATAAAAAGTCTTTTAAAAGATTAAGGACCCAGTAAGAGGGAATAAAATGGTATGTACAAATAAAAGGTAAGTTTTGGTCCCTTCAGTAATAAAGATAGTTCTCATAATTTGTTCATATAATACAAACACACAAATTTTTACCTTTCTATTAAATTTCAACATTCGTAAAATATTTTCATAACCTTTGTTATTTATTTACTAGTTGAATGTAACATCTGTCATGGCCCGAGGGGGGGGGTCTTTTTCGCTGTCACCGACACTAAGCAACTATGCTAAAAATCCAGTGTTAAACGTCTCCTCTTTTCAACATCGTCATATGACACGGTTAGATTGATTACCTTCCTAACGCAACAGGAATCAGCCACTGGAAACAGAAGTGAAGTTCAATCTACCTGGAGGGAGACAAAATCAACCACAACAGAAAGTTCTTCAGTAATGCTTTAACTTCACAAAAAATGTTGGTTTATTTCTAAAAATGATAGAAAAATCCAAAAGATTAGTAGAGAAAAGAATGTGTCCTGTATAGAGTGTTTCATCTCTACAAACTAACAATCTGCAAAACAAAAAATTTTGCTATGCATGCAAAGGGAGTTCATCAAAATATGAACGTTACTTGAACCAGATTATAGATTTATAGACTATAGATCCTTTTGTTTTCTGGAAGTTATCAAGAATTTCTGCCCTTGGAAGGTCTAATCTGGATTTTTCTCATCCATTAATAATGTACCGGTAAGAGGGGATTTTAAACTGCGAAAGTGGGAGAAAAAGAAAAGTCTCTATGTCATGAACCAACAAAGAATCTACCAGTGTTCATATACACTGAAAAAAATAATACAGCTGATTTTGGCATTTAGTTAATCATATTTAGTTACTTTAACACAATTGTTCAATGTCCTACCCTGCTAAGATGAAACAATTGTGTTAAATAACTAGATATGATTAAGTAAATGCCAAAAACGGTTGCATTACTTTTTTCAGTGTATGAAGTCTCTCTGTTTTGGATCTGATAGCTGCGTTTGTTTTTACAGATATGCACTTTCTTCTTTGGCTAGGTCAAATATGTGGGCACAGAGGGCAGCACTGCTTCTGTCACAGGCCTAAGGTCACTTTAAGTTGGAGGAGCAGTTTTGGTCTATCTGTCAACACTTAAGTTACATAATCCGTATGCTCAAAAAAGACAGATTCAACCTTATGAAAAACAGAAATGTCTCAAAACGAACATTTTTGATCAACCAAATGCTGATTGTGTCTTTGAAGACATCAGCAGAAGCCATGGGATTTTTGCAGGACAGGATCAATCCTGAAGGACTGAGGGGCTAAACAAAAGAGGATCTCTGGGCGACTTAGGAGCTGCATCAAGCAATAGAGCCAATGGCAGAAATATGGTCTACAGTTAACCAATTCACAAGAGTTCTTCCTTTCTGCCGAGATTCAAAGAGGTGAGTTATACCCTATAACTGTTTGATCTAAAGCAAGCAAAAAATTTAGTGCATTTGTAAACTACTGTCTTGAACAAGCATACTTATTTTCAGAAGTGTGACTCACTTGACTTTAATAACATTTCTATGATGTTAGCAATTTCAATTTAAATAACATAACCTCAATTTTAGCTTGTTTATAGTATAAAACTATGCTTTCATTTTCTAATTTACATTGCTTTTGACACATTTCCTTACGGACATAAAGTATATTTTAATTAATTTTTTCTTGCACCTTTTTTTCCCCCACATATGAATGTTTAAATGAGCAACAGATGGCAACATTACAGAATAATGTAACACTAGCCTAAAAGGTCACAAACAACCTTTTATCATTATTAAGGACACGTTATTACAATTTTGGCCAACATGCTGATATTTTGAACTCCGCTGGCCAATAACTAATACATATATTTTTTTCCCAGACCCACTCACACTGTAGTTTTCTCCCCTCTGTCCTATGCAGTCATTCGACCTAGCAGTGTGGCTGTCTATTTTTGAACTTTTACAACACAGCAACAAAACTTTCACTTTTATTTTATGATCTGTGACAGATTCCAGCATCACATGGTTTCATGAGGGCCTCTGGCTCAAGCTTATTCCATTTATCCATTCTCATCTTTTGTCTAAAAAAACTGCCTTATTTGTTGGCTAATTATATCAGTGGAGTGGCCAATGTTCTTATTTAGTTTTATTGCTCATATTGGTCAATTGCATGCATATATACGTAATATAATGCGTCCTTGATTATTAAAATCGGAAAAAACACTTTAAAGGCTAAAGTTCATTTCTCTTCAGATCCGCCTGGTCATCTGAAATTGACAGTACAGCCAAAACACTCAAGTTTAAAATTATGCAGCGTTTGTTGCATTTGGTTTGTAGAGACATTTTTAACATTGAAGTAATTATTTACTTTACTTGTAATAGTGAACATTTCCAGCTTATTGTGTCATAAGATTATCAAAAATCTGTAGTTTTCATTCTGAGACATTAGATCATTCATGTTTCATAAAAATATGTTAATATATTAGTTTTGTGCAGTGATCCATATAGGAATACATAAAACAAATGTATATGTTACACCTTGAAAAAATAAAAATCTTTCATCAGTTATGTAGTTTACCCAACACAATCCTTGGTGTTTTAATAAAGATGTTTATGTTTTAAGTTTATGTGCAATATAACATCTACAATGTATGTCTGTTCTGTCTATTAGCTGTCTGACTGAACTGTACCTGAGCATTAATCTCTGACTTTCACTGGTAACTCATCAACATGGCCCAAGTCTGAACAGAGAAAGGAACTGTGGCCCCATATATCACTGATATGCCCGCATCATGCACAATCTGTGGCTTCAGGTGCCATATCCTGTTCCTGTGGGGGGTAAACTAAAGTTGACAACTTTCTTTAACAAGTGGGGCAGCACGACTCTCCACAAGATACAGATTCCGACTTGAGCTACGTGTTAATAAAAAAATAAAATAAAAAAAAACACATTGTGTGTTTTAAATCTGTGGTCAAGTTTCTCTTATCACCAAATATATTAAAGATAAGATAATTTGTGACCTGAGGTTGGTAGCTGTGTTTTGAGTACTGAGAGTGTGTGTGGGAGTGTGAGCTCCTCCACCACTGCAGCCTGAGAGTATCCTGTCAACAGGAACTCCTGGATTCGATATGCAGCCGCTGTTGGTCACAGAAGGAAACTGATTGGTCTCTGTGTGTGCTCTGTTGTTTTATTTATTTGGTCTGACAAAACTCTGTTCAGAGTGATCAGTCCAAGCAGAAAAAAGCGAGTTTTGGTTCTTTATTTTGATAGGCCGTAAAGTTTAAATGTATCTTGAATTTTGCAGATAATGTGTACTTTAGATGAATTCAACTTCTCTTTACACAAATGAAAAATAATAAAACTTGAAAAAGCCCACGCCTATAGTCTAATGCAACAATTCACTTAACCAGAGTTTTCTGTAAGATGAGATGGCGGTAAAACAGGTTTGGTAAGTTAGTCATGCAGGTAGACCAGAAAAAATGTTGCAAAATCTAGTTTAACATTAACCTCCAAAAATAAAACACAAAAAGCAGATTTTTAGTTTGTTCAATGTGAATTTATCCACTTTTTTATTCCAAGGAGCCTCAAATAACCATGTAATGTCATGTTTTAAAGTGCTCTATTAATTAGTTAATATTAGAGTTAAGCAGGGTACAAGAGTTGTGTTGTTAGGAGTTTAAGGAGTTGCTTGTGTTGAAATGTTGAACCCTCTCCCTTTCCTTTCCCTGGGTTTGACTTGCAATCAAGGAGGAGTCGACAGTCCAGCGGGGTTTCTCCTGGAACCTGCTCCTCAAATATAAAGCGCTTCCCCCATCCACCAGGAAAGAGCGAATCACAGCCCACATGGAGGAGCAGCTGCTTGTGCGCATCTGTGCGTTCTCTTAAAAATTTGTTCAGGAATTTATCACCAGGCTTTTTTAACGCATAACCATTTTTTATTTTAAATTAAAACATTTTTTTTAAGTTTTCCAAAGATTTAAGCCAGGTTAAAGACAGAAAGCAGAAAGCGCACAACTTGTTTAAGAGACTCAGACGCGCTTCTTAAGTTTGGAGAGGAGAGAGCGCGCTGCAGATGGCTGCTCTCATCAGCGCGTACTCGTCGTGGCCG